AGGAGGAGGAGGAGGAGGAGGAGGAGGAGGACAGGGAAGGCAAGGAGGAGGAGGAGGACGACGACGACAATGAAGAAGAGGAGGCCTCCTCCACACTTCCTTCTGCTCGCTGCTCTTCACACTCCTCCCCCCCCTCCTTCTCTTCATCCTCCCCCTGCCCCTTACACGCTGCTCCAGCTCGCCACGCCACCAAGCTGCCGGCAAGGTGGGCCAGGCGTTTCGACAGAGCTTTCCCCACCGCTCACGATCCCGAGTCCTGAAGCCCGAGCTCCACGACCGACCTTTTCCGTCGGCGGCGAGACAGAGGCAGTCCGCACCAGCCTGGGGCTCATCGGGGGCATCAGAGAGAGGAAGAGGCGAGGGCGGCCTCGCAGGGGGGAGAAGGAAGGAGGCCCCACAGCAGACGCACGGGTGGCCGGTGGGCTGTTTTCTGAGCGTGGCTCCTGCCAGAACGCCGCGCACACTCCGCCTGAACATGTCAAGCGGATGCATAAAAAATGGAAGGCGGGCCCTCTTCGAAACGTGGCTCTCGCCGCACCGCGCACGTCCGCACGTCAGAACAAATCCACATGCACACGGCTGGAGTGCGGCTCGTGCTCACAATTAGGGTAGCGCTCGAGATTTCCTCTCACCTGCTGGCTAAAAGGTGTAAACATGCGCACCAGAAACGGGTGGAAGGCGGCTCGTGTCAAAAGACGGAACTTCCGAGCTGCACTTCCTTTCGCCTTAGAGCCAAAGTCTACACGTGGTCATCAGCTGCACGGAAAACCGGCGGTCAGTTTCCAAAGCGATGCTATCGCTTGACGCTTCCTTCCACATTCTGATCCTACCTCTTGGGGGTATACGCAGGTCAATGTAAACCCGAGTCAGTCGGGCCTTGCAAGATCCTGCGGGATTCTTCAGGATCCTGCACGCAAGCCAGGGTCAGTGCATCCCTGCCCCTACAGGATCCTGCAAAATCAGGCGCTCTGGCTGACCACCGTTTGCATTGACCCCCGTCTCTTGAGCCCCGAACCTCTTCGCTTCCCAATCCGCCGGCCCCTTTGTGGGGCCACCAGGCTGTAGGCCGAAGTTGCTGCAGCCTGCACCAGTTGATGCTTCAAGCCTCCAATGTTACAGCCCTGCTTTCTGCTTCCTGCCGAAAACTGTTGACGTCCGCGCGAAGGGGGGGAGCCCCGAAAGAGCAATACACCACGCCCAGATCACGCTGCCCGAATTCCCGGAGGGGCGTGGGACACGTTGAAATACATTAGCTTTATGTCGGGCCTGTGCCCCTACAGGGGGACTTTCGACGAAAAATAAAAAATACCCCCAAAATGCCCCACAATGGTCAAACAATGCCCTAAAAATCGTCCCCTGACTATGTTTGGGGACTATTTCTTGACCATTGTGGGGGTATTTTTTTTTTCGTCGAAAATCCCACTGTATGGGGGACAGGCCCGACTTAACATCAGCTTCGCGCCCCCGAGGCCACAATCCATCGTAACTCACACCATGCTCGGGGCGCCGAGGCCACAGACCCTGGTGACTTACACGACTCCTGCGCCCCCGAAACAGCAACCCTCTGCAATTTCCTGGATGCTCGCGTCCCCGAGGCAACAACCCCCTGCAAATTCCAAACACGTGCGTCCCCGAGGCCGTGATCCCTCGTCAATTGCGCAGTGTTCGTGCCCCCGAAGTCACAAACCAACGTGAATTACGCAATTCGTGCGTCCCCGAGGCAACACACCCTCGCAAATCACCCAATATTGCATGATACAACGCCGTTGCAAAAGGTCGTCACGTTTCATGAGAGCTTGAAGATGACATGGGTTTCGTGTCCTACGTCCGCGTGGGCGGGCGGGCAGAGTTTGGCCACTGTCACGACTGCGCCGAGCTGGCCCCCCCTTCCCCCCTAGAATCCTAGCGGACTGAGTCAAGAGCGGTCGGATCAAAGATCCGGGATTTTCAAAAGTGGGATTTCATCCCTCAATGTGATAGTATAGATATAAAACGGGGTAATTTAAAATCCCGACGTACAATCACACGGCTTTAGAAATCCCACCGGGCGGGATTTGCCCTTGCTTATGCAAGATGATCGAATCTCAATGTGCGACGAAACTTTCGTAACGCCACTGTATTCGCGTCCCCGAGGCCATGAATTAACTATGTTTGCATTGCCGAGGCTAAGAGTGCTCCAAGGCGCCTGAAGATGGTTTCAAGATGGCCAAAGAGGGCCCCAAGAGCGCTCCAAGAGGCTTTCCGAAAGAACCCCGAGAGCCCCAACGGTCGATTTGACAAAAGTTTCTAAAAGATTTGGGCCTTCTCGCACGTCCGGCTTTCCGGCGCCCCAAGACGGCTCAAGAAGCTCCCAAGACCGCCCCAAGCCAGCCCAAGAGGTCTCCAAGAGGGCCACAAGACGGCCCACGAGGGCTCCAAGATGGCCCAAGAAGCGCTCAAGACAGCCCCAGAGGGCCCCAAGAGGGCCCAAGCAGGGGACCACGAACCGAACATAATATATGTATGCCCCGAGAAGCCCCCAGGATGCCCCTAGAAGCCGCCAACACGCCCTAAGAGGCCCCAAGAGGCGCCCAGGAAGCGCCCAAAAAGGTACCCCGCGAGGCCTAAGAAACCTCCAAGAGGCCCAAAAGGTACCCCGCGAGGCCCCAAGAGGCCCCTAAGAGGCGCCTAAAACACCTCCAAGAGGCCCCCGAGAGGCTCCCCACGACACCCCAACACAAATACAAGACGCCCCAGACCCACAACCCAGGGACGGTGGCAAGATGTGCCGAAAAGCACTGGGATAACGCAAACGTCTCAGCATGCGCAGATGATTCCTATATCCGCCCCCGCATGATGTTCCCAGATGCGCCAAGGCAGCGCCGAGACGCACCGACGCGACTCTGATACAGCCCATTCTGACAGAGCGCGGGCCGGCGGCAGTGGGCGAAGCCCTTACGTACAACTAGAAGGGTACAGGGCAACTCGTTCTCAGCACGGGACGCCCGCCCGAACTGCGCACCCATGGCGTGCTCGTCTCTCAAGGAGGCGGTTGCCGCTCTGGACAGGACTTCCTGCACGGATCTGCGAGTATGTTCTTGCAGTATCGTTGTGCACCGTGGGTTTACTCCAGTCCTCCTCCTCCTCCTCCTCCTCCTCCTCCTCCTCCTCCTCCTCCTTCTGCTGCCCCCTTTCCTCCTCCGACGGCGAGCGCAGGTCACTCGCGCCTAAGAAGCGCTTTGATCGGAAACCGACGCACTCCCTCGCGGTTGTCCTCCTGCTCCTCCTCCTTCTCCTCCTCCTCCCCCACCCCCTCCTTCCTCACCTCCTCCTCTCCTCCTCCTCCTCCTCCCTCCTCATCCTTCCTCTCTCATTCCTCCTCCTCCTCCTCCTCCTCCTCCTCCTCCTCTCCTCCTCCTCCCCTCCTCCTCCTCCCTCCTCCCCCTCCCTCCTCCCTCCTCCCTCCTCCCTCCTACCCTCCTCCCTCCTCCCTCTTCCCTCTCCCTCCTCCCTCCTCCCCCCTCCGTCCTCCGTCTCCTCCCTCCCCCTCCTCCTCCATCCTCCCTCCTCCCTTCCTTCCCCTCCCTCCCTCCTCCCTCCTCCCTGCTCCCTGCTCCCTGCTCCCTTCTCCCTGCTCCCTGCTCCCTGCTCCCTTCTCCCTGCTGCCCCTGCTCCCTGCTCCCTGCTCCCTGCTCCCTGCTCCCTGTTCCTGTTCCTGTTCCTGCTCCTGCTCCTGCTCCTGCTCCTCCTCCTCCTGTTCCTTCTCCTCCTCCTCCTCCTCCTGCTCCTCCTCCTCCTTCACCTCCTCCTTCTCCTCCTCCTGCTCCTGCTCCTGCTCCTCCTCCTCCGTTCCTCCTTTCCTCCGTTCGTCCATTCCTCCGTTACTCCATTCCTCTTCCTTATCGACAACTCCGCCCTGTCGCATCCCGAGGCGCGTTGGTAGGGCGGGCCAGGCGTGTCGCCAAAGACTTCTTCACCAATTATGATCATGAGGGCGGTCCGCTGTCACAAAAGTGGCTCTCGCCTTAGCGCCGAAGTACCCTGCAACAACGTGACAGCAACACTGCAAGACACGGTGCGCAGCAAATATCTATGTCGTGCGACGTGTGCGTGACCGACTCGCAGAACAGAGGTACAAAAGGCCAGGAGGCATTGTACTGGGAAGGAACAGCAAAACGACAACATCGGGGTGCAAGAACAATCACCTCGACAGAAGCAGAGCGAGATGATGGCGAGATCAGTTTGGGATCTGCGTGGGACCCCACTAGGCTGGCCCCCACAGCAGCCTTCGAAAGTGCTTCGAAAGTGGCGACAGCCTCAGATTTCGCAGCCCCTCAAAAATGGCAAGCTTCTGGTTGGATCTGCGCGGGGCCCCACCGCGCTGCCCCGTGCAGCAACACTCGAAAGTGGCGAGCGACACTATCACACTTCGCAGCCCCCCAGAGATGGCGGGGTCCCGTTTGGGTCTGCGTGGGATCGCACTGTGCTGGCCCCCCCCCAGCAGCCCTCGGTCCCCTGTGGGTCTGCATGGGACCCCACTGTGTTGCCCCCCCCCCCCACTACAGCCTTCGAAAGTGGCGACACTTTCGCACTTCGCAGCCCCCCAGGGTTGGGGTGGTCCCGTTTGGGTCTGCGCGGGGCCCCGCGCTGGCACCCCCCCCCTCGCCTGCCTGTTGGCAACAGGCAGGCGAGGGGGGGACAGAGTTGGCTCCCCCAGCAGGCAGGCGCAGGCAGGCGAAACGGGGACAGAGGGCGGGTGGAAAAGGAGAAGGGAGTCGGCCCCCCACTGCCTGATTCAAAACGAGAACCCGACCAGGGAAGGGCTGGGGAAACATGCAAGGGCTCCACGGATTGAGGACGCGCTTTTCTTCTTTCTTTCGGGCGATTTCACAGCCCCTGGTGACTCTGATCTACTTTGGCTTCCGCTCACCTACGGTGCACTAGCTACCGCCCGTTTTGCCTCTGGCAACGTCTCTTCCCACCGGGGCTGGGGTCTGCCCCGGACTCGCCGGGTTCCCAACCGCGACTCCTGCCCGCGAGGTGTGATCAGGCGCTGCCAGCTCAGCCACTCCGCGCCGCGATAGCCGAGCACGCGCGGCGCCCAAGCCTGCACGTCGTGTCCGCGGCGGACGTGGGCGGCGTCCCACGACGCCTGCGCCTTCGCCCACGCCTGGCTCCAACGCCCGGTCCGCGCGGCCAGGGACTGGGCGATCGTGCGGCGCCGTAACACGATGGCGCCCCAATCCTCGTTCGGCACCGGCCGGATGTCGAAGGTGATGGCAAGGAGCTTGCGCTGCAGGCGGTCGAGGCTGCTGGCGTACGTCCTCTGGTAAGGCCACCGCGAGAATCGATACTTAACTATGCTCAATACGCCACTGGTCAGAAACCGGAGCTTCGCACCCTCGTTTGCCCGGCGCAGACCTCTATCCAGATTGCCGAAGAACGCTCGGAGCATCGCCGCCGTGGCCGCCGCGTAGCACGAGGTGATGCCACCATTGTTGTCAATGTGGCCCAGCGTCTTCATGGGCTCCTTCTTGTCCCAGCTGTGCGGCGAGACTACGTTGTCGCGCCCGCCCTTGCAAATGAAGTATTCCCGGGAATCCTCCCCGATCTGCAAGTTCCAGCGCCGACTGAGCTGCTCCGCGCAATCATCCTGAATGCGGATGGCGGCGGACGGATCCCGGGGCGCTGCGAGGAGGTTGTCAACGAAAGATGCCAACCCTGTGCCTTCGAAGCCGAGGGACTGCCAGTAATGCATGCGCTGAGACGCCACGTCCAGCAGAGGGATGCGCCCGGCTGCGCCGGCTCTCCGGGAGCCAGTGTCACACCGACGGCGCGGGCCCTCGGCGTTGCGAAAGCAGACCCCGCGCTGAGCACGACGAGTGGGCAAGCATACAACTTCACAAGGGTGGCGGCCTCGTCAGACGAACCGGTTTCGTCCGTAAGCCACCTGGCGACGCGAACCGCTCGCGGGGCGTCGTAGTACTTCCGCACATCCTGCTGGCAGGCGCAGCCCTTGGATTCGACGCCCATGCCTTTCTCGATGACGAGCGCCAGCGGATGAACGGCATCTAACGTCTGGCGCCTGCTCTTGGCGCACTCCAAGTACGGCGAAATCGACGCGGCCGGCAAGGCGCGGGCCGCGTACCTGTCGACGATGTCGTGCACACGCTTTGCCAAGAGGTAGTCTACGACCGCCAGCGCCACTGGCAAGAGAAGTATGGCGGGGACCTTGGCGGGCGGGATGGCTCCGGGGCGCTTCGCGCTCGCCCTGCCCAGGATGACGAGGCTGCCCATTTCTTCTTGGTTTCTCGCGAGGTCGAGGAAGGCCTTGTGCACGGCGTCCGGCCGGGCCTCGTAGAGGAGCCAGAGAGCTGCGACCGCGATGCCGGTTGCCCATATAACCGCTGCATGGCGGAGGCCCGCGAGCGCATCTGCGAGCTCTTTCTTGGAGAAGGTTATGCTGGCATTGCCACATGACCGCAGGAAATCGTTCTGCACGCAGAAAAGGCGCGGGTTGCCGCACCGCAACAAAGCGCGGAACTCGGCCTCGATCATGGAAGCCCACTCCTGGTGGTCGACGGTCTCACCTCCGTCTGGTGCTTGCATGGCTCGGAGCGGTAGAATCTTCTTGGACTTCCAGTTCACCTTGCCTTCGTTCAGTCGTTGCGCTTGGCGGATCTGTCGAAGCGTGGTGAGCCAAGTGACGCGGGCTGTATGCAGTTCCCTCCGAAGCCATTGCTGCTGGCGCCTGTCTGTGGCCGCCCTGGCTCGGTGTCGTAGCTCTTTGACCGCTAGAGGTTCCCTGGTGCTCCGGCGGGCTGCGCGTGCACGGCTGTCAGCGCTCTCGCGCTGGAGCTGGGCGACCCAGGCCATGAGGTCAGCGGTGTTCTGGAAGGTCTGAGGCGCGCGTGTCTTCGCCCGCGCGACGGCGGCCTGGCCGTCCCGGCATCTCCACGTTGAGGGGCCAGCGATCGTCCGTGTCGCCTGGCCAACGTCTGCGTAGGCAGCGATTGCCGCATGATCCGAATAGAAGTCTGTCCAGTAGCCGCGAACGGCATGCACGCATCCATCCGAAGCGACATGGTCAATCAGGGACGGCTGCGCTGTTGTTCCTGGCGGGGGCATTCGCGTCATCGATGCTGTGCGGGAGTGCATGGGTGAGGCGGGAAAATTCCCAGTGAAGGGATCGATGTCGTGCAACTTACATCGTATCTTGGATGAGTCCGGAAAGCTGTGGAGGTGCATCCGCTCCTCCTGGTGTCTGCGGCTCCAGTGTGGCGAGCCAGCGAAGGGATCTGTGGGGAGAGTGGGTAAAAGGTCGACGTTCATGTCGCCGATGAGTATGAGGCGGCTTCGTCTGGGACGTGCCTTGGCCAGAGCGGTTGCATCCGCGAGGCTAGGAAGAAGCTCGTCACCGTGCCCCCCGTGCACCATGACGATCGAGACGGCAGTGCCCTTGCCGATGTTGAAATCTTCCCTGCAACAGCGCCCACGCGCCTTGAGGGCCTTCAAATGTGGCGTCCGCGCATCACGAACGAACACTGTGAAAGGTGTAGAACCCAGACCCAGCCAGTGCCGCATGTAGTGGTGACGCGTCGCCTGCTCCAAAGAGAAACTTGAATTGTAGTGGGCGTCGCTCTCGGCCAAAAATGCAATAGACCAACGCGGCCATTCGACCTCGAGCTCATGAATTAACGCCTCCAGCGCAACATCTGCGCTGAGCTGCCATGCCGCGCTGAACGACACGCAGCACAAGTCCCCTAGTCACGAATGGCCATCGTAGGCTGCGGCAGCCCCCAACACCTCCTCGGCGTAGAATTGGGTTGCCGCTGGTGTCCACGCCCATGCAGCATCCGAGGCATAGCCGATGACGATCTCATTGGCCTTCACCTGCTTGAACTTGGTCTCCGTCGTGAGGGTCACCACGGCACGGTCCCGGGTAGCAGCTGCCTCGAGGTACTCCTTCGCCTTGTGCATCATGCGGGCCGGTGCGTTCTCGGCTCGTGACCGTTTCGCGTCGAACCACACCTTCTTGTTTGCCACGAAGGTCTTGCCGAGGGCCTTCACCCGGAGTCGAGCTGGACCCATCGTGCCGGCGTCGCGGAGCACGACCTCGCAGGTGGAGCCAGGAATGTCCCGGGTGGCCGCGACGGTCTCCACCTTGTCCTCCAATCCGGCTTCGCGCAGGACTTGCCGGCACCTCTCCTGTAAAGTTTCTGGCGGCGTGTCCCAACCCAAGCCACCGCAGATGCACACCTTGCGCATCTCGTAGGGGACCTCGGCCATCTTCGTGGTCTGCTGCTCCACCTGCTTCCTCAAATCCTCCATATCCTTCCTTATCAGTGCCTCGTCGTGCGCCCCTCCCGCAGCCGGTGCAGCGGGTCCGTCTGCCATGCCGTGGTGCGCGTCCTTGAAGGTCTGTAGCTCTGCCAGGAGATTCTCCACCGTCTCCTTCAGCTTCAGGGCCTCCTCGATCTTCCCCTCGTGGTCCTGGACTTGCGCCGACATGGAGGCCACGCTCTGCTCGATGCCCACGAAGCGCTCCTCGATGTGCTCACCGAAAACCGCGAAAGTGTCGCCCAGTGCGGTCTGTAACCACTTGGCCTGCGGCTTCTCGAAGGGGATGGCCGACGGGCTGGCGTGGCGTTTTCCCGCATCCGCTGCCTCGGACGCACCTGCCTTCTTGGCCTGCTTGGCAGCGGGCGAGCTCGCGTCCGCCGTGAACAGGCCGGCAAGGTGGGACTTCACCTGGTCACCGATCTTGTTGATCGCCATCGCTGCTAGCGGGCGGCGCGGCGGGCCTTGAACACCAAACCGTATGTATGCCCTGGTGCAGTGCTTCGCTAGGCACACGCCGTAACGGCTTGGGCCGCCGTAGCGGCTTGAGCCAAAATGGCTTGAGCCAAAAGGACGGGCCGCTGTCAAAATGTGGCGCTGGCCTCAACGCCGCGCACATTCGTCTTCACAACTTGCAAGAGCTTTACGGATGGAGGGCGGTCCGCTGTCAAGATGTGGCTCTCGCTTTGCCTTGGCGCCGCGCACGCTCGTCTCAAATATTTGCAAGAGTTCCACTGGTTCCCATGGTTGACGTACCAGAACCTGTGTTTTGACACGATGTCGGAATGTCAGGGCGCACCAGTTACTCTGACTCGCGGTGTTGAAGTCCCAGGGACGATGTTCCTGGCACGATTCAGGAGGATCGTCAACACGAAGCAATAACGGTGATTCGCGATGTTGAAGTCCCAGGAAGTGAGGTTCTGGCAGAAGTCAACAGTTTCAAACAGTTGTGTTCAAGCGGGGCACTTCCCTCAGCGGAAATGAACCCTCGGGCCTATGAAGAGGGAAATTGGAGCGAGGGTTGATTGCAACATCGCTGATGAGTCTTGGGTTTGCACTAGTCCTCCCTCCTCCTCCTCCTCTTCCTCTTCCTCCTCCTCCTCCTCCTCCTCCTCCCCCTCCTCCTCCTCCTCCTCCGCCTCCTCCCCTTCCTCCCCCTCCTCCTCCTCCTCCTCCTCCTCCTCCTCCTCCTCCTCCTCCTCCTGCCGCGCTCCCCTCCTTGCCCCCTGCCTCTGGAGGCCCGGCGCTGGCAGGCCCAAGCCCCCCGTCCTGCTGCAGGTCGGCCTCCAGCTTGTCGAACCGCTTTGCGTCGAACTGGCCCGCCTGACACAGAAGAAAACACATACACACACAAGTCATACGCCAGAGGCGCGTGGACGCTAACAGTACTGTACAACGCTGTGCTTCCACATGCGCTGATCATGCACAAGGTCAGAACTCAGATTGGCACGAAATGACTCTCTCTGCACCATGGTCGTCCACTCGTTGCGCGCTCTTTGCACCATGGTCGTCCACTCGTTGCGCGGACGCCCACAACTGCATAAACATAAACATCGCATAAACATCGCGAGCAATATTCATATCCATGTCCATTGCGTCTTGCACTTTCCGGGAAGGGGCGCCAAGAGGTCGAGGGGTAGCGGATACGGATAGAACAATCTGGCCTCTAGGGGCCGAATCTTTACCCACATCCGCAGCGCCGCTGATTCCGGGGGAAAGGAACCCGATACTCCAAGACGCAATGGATATGAACACAGATCTTGCCCGCAAGCACAACATTCCGAAGGCCCGCGCGGACGTCCTGGATATGAGCTGAAACCCCGCCCCTGGCACGCGGAGCGGGCCAGGGGGCGGCGCTGGAGGCGCCGCCAGGGGAGGCCAGCGCAGACCCAAGACAGCCGCACGGAGCTCCGAAAGTTTGAGCTCATGCTGTTGATCCTTCTTCGATGGCAGTGGCGCCCCCTCGCAGGTACCCCATCGTATTTTTCCTGGGCGGCCCGCAGGTACGTCCCAAGTGCCTTTCCTGGCCCCTCCATCCTACGGTTCCCTCCTCCTGCTCCTCCTCCTCCTCCTGCTTTTGCTGTTTCCATCCCTATCCTCCTCCTCCTCCTCCTCCTCCTCCTCCTCCTCCTCCTCCTCCTCCTCCTCCGTCGCTCAGTTTCGCGCGTCGCGCCCCGCGGTGTGCGGTTACGGGGAGGGGTTGTTGATGAGAAACCTGAATGGAGGAATCCAAGACTTTGCCCCGATTCCCCCCTGCCCCCAGACACCCTGAGTGAAAAAGGGGAAGAGGCGAGAGCAATGAGCACGGAGTGAAACGCAAGCAGCAGCGCAACATAATGAAACCTGAGGCTGTGTCCGGGTTTTTAAATGACAGCTGAGGATCGTACACCCCTTGACACGATCGACCTCGAAAGTTGTTGACGCTCCCCTTCAATGTCCCGCCCTCTACCTTCCCTTCAATGCCGCCCCCCTTTAATGCCGAAGCAGGGCGAAAGGCGGTCTCGACAGATGCGACTCGGCAGTTCCACGATGACCGACAGTGAAAAGGGGGAGCCAACAAAAACCCGCAAGCAATGCCAGCCAAACCCAGAACATAAAACATATGAGTAACGTGCGCAACACAAGTTTAAGCTTATTTTGTTGAAGGCAATAGTACCGCAGGCTGGTACACCTTCATGTGCCTCGATGTATACAGCTGAACAACACCCCCCCCTGAGGGTGGCACGAAGCTGTATATCCATTTCCCGGAGCTGGGATTGCGGTAGTAGCGGTAGCAATAGCAGTAGCAGTAACAGTGATAGTTGTAGTAGTGATAGTTGTAGTTGTAGTAGTAGTAGTAGTAGTAGTAGTAGTAGTAGTCGTAGTAGTAGTAGTAGTAGCAGTAGTAGTAGTAGTAGTAGTAGTAGTAGTAACAGTAGTAGTAGTAGTAGTAGTAGTA